CTTGGACACTTCCAGGGATGGGATCGAGCTGCAGAGGGTCTGGCCTTGATCCGGAGCGGGGCCGGGGCTTATGCTCTGCAGTTGTGCCCGCAGGTGCTGGCAGAGAAGCGGAGCTTGGGCAGCAGGGACGGGCCCCCGCACCTCGTGGTTGTGGTGCCGCTGCACAGCGGGACTGCGGTCCACGACACCCTCCGCTTGCTGCAGAGCCAGGACTCGGCAGTTGTCCGTGTGGAGGAGGGGAAAGGCGGTGGCTTTGCGCTCCTCTGTCCCCGACTCAAGCAGCGCTGGCGCTTTGTGACAGCACAGGCAGGTGAGGGAACACCGTTGCTGGTTTGGTTCTTGGCTCCGGACTCCTGGCAGCCTCAGTAATGGGGGTGTTTTGTGTGCAGGGGACCATCACGCTGTCTTAGACCTAGCCAAGGTCGCTGACTCCCTCCTGTTCATCCTGGATCCTACAGATGGTTGGGACAGTGCAGGAGAGTATTGTCTGTCCTGCCTCTTTGCACAGGGGCTCCCCAGTTACGGTGAGTGAGAAACATTACGGGTGTAGGTCGAGGTGCTGCTTGGTGGTGATTTACTGTTGCGGTAATTAAAAACACCATGTGTTAATAGGTGATCATAGGTCTTAGACAGCTGTTTCTGAGCACGGACAGGGTGAATGCCATTGTCCTGCTGCCTTCTTGCATTACTACCCTGGTGGGGGAGTGCTGTGGATAACAGGGGTGTTCTAGGTTAATGCTCTGGGTGTGTGGTGGTGTCTGTTATTGGGATTCAGATGGTTTCTTGCTGAGTTCAGTTCCTGGGTCCTCATCTCCACAGTCTCCTTTAGTCTCAAAATCTTATGACAGGATTTCTGTCTTGATTGTTCTGTTGAATGGTTGAAACTTGTGTGTGAATCTGGGTGTGTTGCTGATACCTGGCTGTTTGTTAATGCTCAGTATAAAGAGGTTTACGATCTGATCCGAGCTCTGTGCGCTTCCCCGTAGCTCTTGCTGTCCCAGGAGGCGCTGACTTGCCACCTAAGAAGCGGATAGATGCCAAGAAGAAACTTGCCAAAGCCATAGAGAAGCGCTTTCCAGAGGCCAAGCTCTTCCCTCTGAACACAGAGCAGGAGTCCACGCTGCTGCTGAGGCACCTCGCCACCCAGAAGCAGCGGCACCTCGCTTTTCGGGACAGGCGGGCCCACCTGCTGGCCTATGCTGCCGAGTTTGTACCCGGCCAGGAGAGCGACCTGGTTGGCACCTTGAAGGTGTCCGGCTTTGTCCGGGGACAGACCCTCGACGTGAACAGCCTGGTGCATATTGTGGGGCATGGAGACTTCCAGATGAGCCAGGTGGATGCACCCCCTGATCCCCTCTCTTTGAACCCCCGAGTGGGTAAAGGACAGAAGAGTCGTCAGGACATGGAGGTACAGGTGTGTGGGAAGTCGGGGCTTTGCTGGAACTGTCAGAACATGATGCTTCCAGGTTTTCATCAGGAAAATACAACTGGGTGTAGTGGTTAAGGCAGCGGAGAAAGGGAGTTTTATCAAGAGAGCCAGCAGGACTGTGTTCATCTCGGAGCTGGGATTCTGTGTGCGTGGCTCATAACCAGCGTGACGTTACAACGTGCCGAACACGATATTGAAGGGAGTGTTGCTTCAGGCTGATTGTGAGCTTGAGTTCGGTGTAGTCACAGCTGGGAATTCTGCTCTTCCCCTTCAGGATGACTCTCTGAATGGTACCGATGAGATGGAGGAAGACGTTAAGGTCCTGATGAAGGCAGATCCAAGCAAGCAGGAGTCTTTGCAGTCAGAAGTGGTTCCTGATCCTATGGAAGGGGAGCAGACGTGGCCCACTGAGGAAGAACTGCTAGAAGCGGAGGGTGAGTAGCAGCAATGCTTCTGTGCCTCCTCCCCTTTAAGAGGGTTGTCACCAGGGTGGCTGTGAAGAAACACACTAATTGGGAGCCCAGAACTTCCATTCCTAGTCCTGTTTCATGGCAGGTAGTGGAGTTACGTTTCAGCTGCCTTTTCTGGGCCCTGACAAATTTTATGCTGGGAAACGGGGTTTCTGGTCCAGAGCTGATCTTGACTGTCCCGGTCTAAATGCAGCTGAGGGAAAGGAGACGTGTTCCTCTATTAACTATTGGTGGGAATCCTACAGCTTCTCTGAAGGCCAGCAGGAGGGTGGTGAAGGTCCCCAAAGGCACATCCAAGTACCAGGCTGCCTGGATTGTAGATGATGGAGAAGAGGGTAATCAGGAAGGTGATGATGAAGATGATGACATTGATGATGACATCGATGACGATATGATGGAAGAGGCAGTTTCCCAGGTACCTCTAAGAGCTGGTACTACAGGCCAGCTCCAGTGCGTTACTGCGTATCCTAGGGCACTCCTGTCCTTCTGACTCGCTCCATGCAAGGGCACAACACAGAGCAAAGCCTTGCCTGGATTTCCACTGTTACATCTCTCACGTGTCGCTTCTTTAGCCTGTTAGATACCGAAATGAGGGACTGTGATGTAGCTTGGGTCCCAGCTCACAGGGTGCAAGCGCACGCAGGGTTTGCAGTGCTGCGTGGACATGGGCAGGGCACATCTGCTCACGGGCTCTGTGCTGTCCTGTGTGCCAGGAGGGGGAAAGCAGCGAGGAAGAAGAGGAACCTGCAGAGGAGGAATGTGAGACCATGACCGTTTCCGAGTGCTTGCGGGATGACCAGTATGATGAGAAGGTGGAGGAAGATGAACAGATGCTGGAGAGATACAAACAGGAGCGAATGGATGAGATGTTTCCAGATGAGGTGGACACGCCGCGGGATGTACCCGCCAGAGTCCGGTAAGAAACGGTGCTTTGCTGGGAGAGAAGCTGGAAGGTGCCCCTCTGTCTAGTTTGGCGAGATAGGGCAGGAAGCCTGTGATGTCTTAGCCGTGGTGTCTGAACCTGGCTGAAGGACTCTTCTGAAGACTCACTCCTAGGCTCTGAGGCTTCCAGGAGATACACTAGTTGGGGAGGCAGTGGTTGGGCCAGGGCAGCTCTCTGCGGCATGGACAGCTGGGTCCTGACATGGGAGAGGGAGGAGGATAGCAGAGCCCTGATGCAGGGGCACGCTGGCTGGGGACATGGCTGCTGTTTCTGATTCTCCCTGCACCAAGATCTTTTCGGAAAGCTGGCATGTGCTTTACTCCCTTTGCCCTCTCTGAAGGCGTGAGTCCCTGTGGATCGCAGGCGGTGCCAACCAGACACCTCTACTTATGAAGCAGCTTGTCTGTCTTGTTATCTGTCCTTTAGGTTCCAGAAGTACAGGGGACTGAAGAGCTTCCGGACTTCTCCGTGGGACCCCAAAGAGAATCTCCCACGGGACTATGCCAGGATTTTCCAGTTCCAGGATTTCTGCCGAACCAGAAAGCACCTCTTCCGGAAAATTGAGAAAGAGGAGACTGAAGGAGCCTCAGTAATTCCCTTTTCTCTTGCTGATCTTCCCCTGCTGTGTTCCCTTACTCCCAGTAGGGAAGATTTGCGAGGGAGGTAGCTGGGTGGATCTTTCAGACACGGGGTTCTCAGCACGGTGAAACAAGTTCAGATGCCATTGTTCTCCTGGATTCTCTCCCTAACCCAGGCACGTGTTACTTCTGACACTTTTCCTGTAGAGGGAAGCACTCACAACTGCTCCTCTCTTGGCAGGTTGGCTGGTACGTGACGCTTCACGTCTGCAACGTCCCTGTCTCGGTGATGGAGAGCTTCAAAGAAGGGAAGCCACTGGTCCTGTTCTCGCTGCTTCCCCACGAACAAAAGGTGACTAAGGATGGCCCTGTCGATACCTTGTAGGTGTGCAGCTCCTGCTTCCCTCAGGCTGCACGGATGGAGCAGTTCTGGCTGCAATCTCCGTGCATTGCTGGTGTTTTAAGACCTTCCCTTTGGTCAGAGCAGGCTGGAGTTGCCAGGGGTGTTGAGAGCGTCTGAGGTGTCTGCATTAGTGACTGGCGGCCCTTTGGGAAGCTGTTGTCAAGGGTCTTTGTCCCTGCTGCAACATCCCGTTGCTTTCTGCTCTGTCCCCCATCGTTTGCCAGCCCCTCACGTGCTGCCTCTCCTGCAGATGTCCGTGTTGAATTTCCTGGTGCGGCGACATCCCAGCAACAGCGAGCCAGTGAGGGCCAAGGAGGAGCTGATCTTTCACTGTGGGTTCAGGCGCTTCCGAGCATCCCCCCTGTTCTCCCAGCATACCTCAGGTTTGCGGGGGGACCGGTGGGGTGGGTGTGGGTCTGCCAGGAGGTGGGGCTGGGTTTCCTAGGGCGGGAAGCCCGTGATGTCTTAGCCGTGGTGTCTGAACCTGGCTGAAGGACTCTTGTGAAGAATCCCAGGCTCTGAGGCTTCCAGGGGAGGCACTAAATTGGGGGGAGTGGGCGGGCAAGGCGGTGGCAGGCTCCACGCAGTGAGCTGGTAGCTCGGAGCGTTGCCTTCATTCCCAGCTGCTCCGTGCCAGCAGGGGAGGGGTGTTTGTCACCTGTTTTCCTAAAGCACGGAGCCCGTTTGCCAGGATAGAATGGGGTTTCCCGGCGCTCTGAGGGCAATATTGGCCTGAACTCGACCATTGCTGTTCTGTCCTAGCTGATAAACACAAACTGGAGCGTTTCCTGCGCCCGGATACTGGTCTGGTGGTGACTGTTTATGCTCCCATCACTTTCCCTCCTGCCTCAGTGCTGGTTTTTAAAGAGAGGAGTAACGGTAAGTTGGTAAGTGTTGAGGAGGTGGTGTCTGGGAGAGAAACGTTAGAAGGCCGTTCCCATACTCCACATCCAAGAGCATCTGTCCAGAAAGTATGACTTGAAAAAGCTGCTCTTTGAGAAGATTAAACCATTTCCATCCTCACTATCACTGGCACCTTCGCCTGCCCCTGCTATGGGGTTGTTCCAGGCCTGGAACCGTTTGGGGATGGGAGTCGTGGTGAGGGAGGGGGGTGATGGGGGCTCTATCTGTGGCGCTGCCCTGGCGCCTTAGTGACTGGGCTTTGCACGACCTCATCGCCACGGGTTCTCTACTTTCCGTGGACCCAGACAGAATCGTCATCAAGCGGCTGGTGCTCAGCGGCCATCCCTTCAAGATCTTCACCAGGACGGCCGTGGTGCGATACATGTTCTTCAGCAGAGGTACGGCCTGCCGCGTGGGGAGAGGGGATGCGGAAGCAGAACTTCCATCCCCGCGGGAGTGGATGTCGGTGCGGCAAAGCCTGTTTCTTACCTGCCTTTTGCTCTCCAGAGGATGTGATGTGGTTTAAGCCCGTGGAGCTGAGGACAAAGTGGGGTCGTAGAGGACACATCAAGGAGCCGTTGGGTAGGTTTGGTTCTGTGTTTCTGTGATGCTGGGCAGGAGGTGGTTCTCCTGGGCAGGACAGAGGGCTAATGGCCTCTCCTCTCTGCCCAGGGACCCACGGTCACATGAAATGCCACTTCGATGGAC